GATCCCAGAATTCCCCAGGCATCACTGCTGCCTGGGGAATTCTGGGAGCGGTAGTCCCAAACCCGCTCCACCGTCCCGGGGCTGGAGGGAAGCAGGCAGGTTTCGGCCACGTTACTTTTTTTCATCCTAAAACCACCACGTCTCCCCATCCTTAGAATCCTTAGCCTTTGAAACGTTACTTCTTTGAGGTGTGTGTGAGGGAGGGGATGCAGCCTCCAGTCTCCTGCTTCTCCCCCACTCACACACTCCAGTTATTCTTCCTTGTATCCCTTAGAAGCTGTTGTTTTAATACATATTTTCCTAACTCGAGGCATTTGGCTGAATAACTTGGGGTGGTTTGTCTCAGTTGCAGCTGCACGCAAGAGAAAGAGGGAGAGAGAAGCAGGCTGGGGGTGAGATGGATGGACTCCCTCTAGGAAGGCGCCTCCTCCTCCTCCTTTGCAAGACCTGAGCGGGGTTCTTGATGGCAGGTCGTTTGGGAGGGGACTCCTTCCAAGGAGGGCTGCCCTGGGCCAGAGGTGATGACAGGACGGCACAGAACAACAGTGTGATAATGATGATCCACTTCCATCCTGTCGAGCATCTTTGGCAGAAACGATGCTCTGCCATTGCTGGTCCCCAGCCCCAATGAGACAGGAGGAGGGTTAGGTTAGCCACCTGTCCCTTAAAAATTAAAAACCGCTACAGAAAATAGCACATAATAGCAAAAACAAAAGGGAAAAATTGGGTGCTGTTCCCGGGAAGTGGAATGTGTCACAAGGCGTCCTTTTCGTTCAGCCAAGGACAGAGCTTTTTTTATGGAGCTGCCTTGCCCAAAGGTTTTCAGACCTGCAGGGTTAACAATAAAAATCAGGGAATGAAAAAACACAGATAACGTGTGTTTATTTAAAATGTTTTTATCCCGGCTCTCTCCTTAAAATGGAACCAAAGCGGCTTACACTATTAAAAGACAGCATTTAGAGCAAACAATTGTGAATAAACAAATAATAAAAAGGATAAAATCAATAACATACTAAAAGTGGTAGGCTAAATGCTTCTTGGTGTTAAAAGCTTGGAGCAATACTGGTGAAAAAGCCACCTCTCCGTGAAATATCAGATCAAAACGCAGTACAAATGTATGTGAATGCCTAACAATAAGAATGTTTAAAACAGTTATGCAACCCCACCATAGTTGTTCAGTAATTAACTGTCTCATTCTGACCAGTGACATGATTACAATGGCCTTCATTTTGCAGGAGCTAAGAAAAGCTGTTAGTGATCTCCGAAAAGTCTTGCTATTAATTCATAATAGAATCATGTGCCATCAAGTTGATCCTGACTTAAGATGGTCCTTTTGAGGGTTTCTTCCAGGTGTGGTTCACCCTTCCCTTCTTCTGGGGAGGTTGTCTTGGGGCCTTTTCAGCTTGCCCAAGGCCACACAGGCTGGCTCTTCTCCTGAGAAGCCCGGGGGCGGGGGGGGGATTGAACTCCCAACTCTGGCTCCGCAGCCAGAGACCTAAACCTCAGAGCGATCCAGCCAGTTCATCCATTCATAGGGTTGCCACAAGTAGAAAACTACTTGATACCTAACTACCTGCGCTTACAGCTTTATTGAGTCTTTTCCCAAGGATTCTTGGCTGAGCCCCAGAGAAACTGCTTGGAGGTGCACCAATGAAAGGAGGCTTGTTTATAGTCTTGTGAAAAGGTTCCAGCTTTGCGGTGCTTCCATAAATGTTTGCCAGGCATTCATTAGCTGAGTCATTTTTCTGAGGTGTTTTTGCCGATACTAAGACAAAATGACCCCTTTAGGGGCCTATAAATACATGGTTTAAACACTTGTCAGAATTCAACATGTGTTTGTTTTTTTCTTCCTCTAGGAAAAAACTAAAAAGCACTTCCAAATATATTTATCAGACTCTGTTTTTGAATGGTGAAAACAGCGATGTTAAGATCTGTGCTCTGGGAGAAGAATGGAACTTGCACAAGATATACTTATGCCAGGTAAAAAAAAATCATTTTCCCCAATAGCATCACAGGCTAACGCACAAATCATTGTACTGGGACAGGAGTACAGAGTTTGGAGGCTTGAGTTACCCACGTTGATGTGTTCTTAGAATACCAAAGTTCACAAGCCAGAGCCCGCTGCAAAAGACAAACATCTTCTACTGCAGAATTCTGAGCCCAGGCATTTTCACCGAGGAACAGAACTGAATGGAAGTTATGAATTTTAAATGTATTTTAAAATGTAGCTCCTAGTTACTGCAGGCTTCTTGAGCAGTAACATGTAGGGCAAAGGGGCACCCTGTTGTCGCTGTGACAAAATGATGTAATGTTTATTCTTCTTGCTCTGTCTGCATCTGAAGGTTCCAAGTCCAGGATTTCACATCTCCAGTTAAGAACTCTTCCCCGAAACACTAAAGCAAGGGTTGTCTTTAAGTCCGAGTAGACAAGTAAGCTAGTCTTAAGGGTCAGACTGTCAAACCTGTATCAATGGCACTATCAGATATTCTTCCATTATTTAAACAGGGTTCCCAGATCTTTCAACAGCATGATGTTGCGATGGAGAAATCTGTTCTTAATATATGCAATGAGATGGGAGTGCAGAGAATTTTTTTATCTTAGATTAACAGAAAGCCACCTCATTTCTCTCAATTTCTGAGTCTTTCCAGAACGTTTACCGTATCATCACAACAGCAGTCATAATTTGGCTGTACCCCATGGAAAACTAGCAGCAAGTTTTAAACTTGCTGAAGATGTTCTGGAGGATTGCTTGTTTTGTTTGGGTTAACTCTAAATCAGGAGTAATTTTCCAGCACTTCAGAACTGGTGGCAATGTGTCCCATAAAGCCATGATACTGTGGTAAATAAAATGTGCGGCTAGTTAGATCAGAGGTTCTTGTGCAGATTTATGCACTCCAGTGCTATGAGTGATGGATGGGTGTTAGATTATGATTTGCAGCTGTCAGTAAAGGGAAGTTGAACCTAATGTGTATATTTAATGTGAAATGTCTGCCAGAACTGAATAATCTTGAATGGCAGCAGCCGCTCCTGTTTCTGGCTGGAGACACGAGCTGTGATCAAATAGGAAAACTTTTAAGTACGTCTGCCGGGACCTTCTGTCACACCAACTAAAGCATGGCCTGTGTGGCTTTTCTCTCCTTTGCACAAGGGCGTGTTCAGGATTGTCCTATGCAAGTATGTAAGTCTTAAAGGGACCTCTGTAGAAGGGCACCACTTGTAAGGAGGCCATCTCACGTTACACTTCCTGTGGATAGTTTGCCCTCTCCAGCTGCCAAACAGAATTCCAGGCTACCTGATTGACCTGAAGGTTGCATGACTTAATTTCTTTCGTAATATTTTTGGGAATTAATTCACTGTGCCGTCTTTCTTTCTGTAGTCTGGCTACTTTTCAAGTATGTTCAGTGGTTCGTGGAAAGAATCAGGAATGGATACAATAGAACTGGAAATACCTGATCAGAATATCGATATAGAAGGTAAGCAAAACACCAGGGTTTGTAATGTTTTCAAGCAAACACTGGATTGGAGCTACAATTATTTATATTTAAAGCTAGACCCATTGAAGTTAGGGCTTCAGTTAGTTCTATTCTCATTAAGACGTGATAGTCAGAACAACGGAGTACCAAGCTAGCATCATTGGAAAGAAAAAAATGCTTGGTGGTAGAAAGATGTATGTTATTTGGGTTACGTTAAACAACAGGAACAATAGGGTTAGGTAAATGGAATATTTTCAACAGCTTTTCTGGACCTATCATGATCTTCTGTTCTGGGTCTTCCTTCAGCTGCTTTTTGCGTGCCTTTTGCTTTTGAGGGCTCCCCCCGCTGGCATTTAAATTTACTCATCTTAAAGGTTTCCCTAGCAGTAATTCTTTTATTTATTGTATTCAGCATCCTTGTTGCAAAGAAAAGGAGGTGCTTTAAATTACAAAATGCATGCTCCATGAGTGAAGGCTGTCTCCCTTTCATTTTGGCTGTCATGATGGCTTCTTTCTTCTTCAGCTTTACAGGTAGCATTTGGCTCACTTTATCGAGATGAAGTTTTAATAAATCCGAGCCGAGTCATTGCTCTTCTAGCCGCAGCCAGCATGCTGCAGTTGGTAAGTCGACGTGGCTCTTCGTATTTTCCAACGCCCCTTTCGAGTGTCAGCTGCCAGACAGTTGCAAAATAACTCCTGCTTCACAGTGTGAAAGGAGAACTGTATTATAGAGCAGTTTTGAGCATTCTATAAAGCAGCCAACAGCTGCTCTTCTTAATGATCCCACCTTGTCTTGTTGCTTCTGAGTTGAATCTTTGCAAGCACACGTTCCTTGGTTCAGTAGTTTGTCTAAAGGGTTTTGGGTGGCGTGGCGCTGGCAGCGGCAGAGGCTCCTATTGATCCTTTGCCTGGTGCCACCCAGAACACAGATCACAGCTCCTTGTGAAGCGATTCAGAAATCTCTTCCAAAATGTGGCGGTAACTAATCACTTCGAAATTAAATACTAGTATTTATCTTGCTGTAAACCACCCAGAGTGGCCTTGGCTGCCAGATGGGTGGTATATAAAATGAAATAAATAAATAAATAAAATAGTATTTTTTTCAGACATTGTGTTGTGTATTATAAGTACACTGTAGCCAATGGCAGACCTTGTCTGGACACTAAAGATAATATACATTAACTATTTGAAGGTAAAATATTAGTTCCCTTTCTTGCCAGATAGTTTTTGGAGACTACAGCACACATAACTTTTTGACTTGGCATTTAAGATTGGTTCTATATCATGTTTTTATAGGACGGCTTAATACAGCAGTGTGGTGAGACAATGAAGGAAACAATTAATGCAAAAACCGTTTGTGGTTATTATAATTCTGCAGGAACATACGGGTTAGATTCCTTGAAAAAAAAGTAAGTATCAGCAGTGAGGAGATGTATCAAAATGTGCTTTAATAGGGAGGAGAAGCCAGGCTTCAAGTCAGCAAAATGCTACGAGGCCTTTACTTTGGGAAGGGTCAGTGGAAGAACACTCTTCAAAGGCATGCCTGCTTGTTGTTACTTCTTTTCTATTCCAGTCTAAAAAGTCAGTCTAGAAAATAAGAGGTGGATTTTAGAAAAGTAAAGAGTAAACCTGTAGACCTGAAGGATATTTGTAAGAGCAGCAAGCTTGCAGATTTGCAGTCGTTCCTGTGTAGAATAGTCAAGAGTTTTGATTTAAAAGGGCAGCAGTGATTGCCAATGAGAATGGCATGGGAGATGCAAAGAATGGCTTGAAAGGAGCCCTTCCAAATGTGAGATGCAAAAGCAAACAGGTCTGTGTGGTTTGGAACATGGGTGCTTCATAGTAAACCTCCCAAAAGTTAATTGTTTGGACTGTGGTTCACAGAACTTCTAGCAGGCATGACCGTTGGTCTTTCTCTCTGGGGAATTCTGGGTAATGCAGTCCACAGAAGTAGTTTTGCTTTGCTTTGCTTCATCATGCATGAGGGCATCTGCTACTTGCATGTGAAAATGTACTGTAAGGGGTTTAAAACATACAGTATGTTGAATTGTTTGGATAAGGAGCAGCAGAGCTGCGTTCTGTGCACTTTGACAGAAATGCTTTCTTTTAAATCTAGGTGTCTCGAATGGCTCCTGAACAACCTGATGACACACCAGAGCGTCGAACTCTTCAAAGAACTCAGGTAATGAGAATCCAACTTTCTAGGGTTTTCTGAGATCATACAGATCGAATCAGACTTGCCTAGGCTAATAACTGAGTCCAGAGGAGCTTAACCTTGCTGTGCTTTAGCTTGCCGGACTGATTTCCCTGGGACTGTTTTCAACCTTGCTCAATCTATATCCAGTGTTTTTGCTGTAACATTGAGTTTAATGGAATGCCACTTCAAAGGAATTTGCTGATTTAATCTCAGATTGTCACTTGTAACTGTTTGTATACCATACCTCTCGTTCCAGCATAAACCTCATGAAACAGCTGATTGGTTCTTCTAACCTCTTTGTCATGCAAGTAGAAATGGACGTCTATACTGCTCTCAAGAAGGTACTAAGCGGAGTTCCCCAAACAATCTCTGGGTTTGATTTGTACCGACTAGATTTAACTTGGGTGGCATTTTGCCAAAGGATGGGAGTTGTAAGTTGTAGAAGTCTTTCCTGCCATTTGCAGTAAAAACTGAATGGATATGTTTGCAGTAAAACTTGGGTTCCCCATTGATCCAGTCAGATTTATGGCAGTTTTTCTTTGATCTAGTGGATGTTCCTTCAGCTGGTGCCTTCTTGGAACGGATCATTAAAACAACTCTTAAATGAAGCAGATGCCTGGTTTTCCAAGCGCAGAAAAGGTATCTGTGCACGGGCTTTGGTTTCATGGATGAAAATGTACTGATGAAAATGTCAAGTTCTCTATCTGTGCAAGATACACCTGGCACTTCCTTAAGGAGTGGACTGTTCCGTGTGGGTTAATATGTTTCCATGTGTTATTTGGCTTCATAGTCCATCATTCTATTTAAGTATATTCAGTTTCTCCTTTTTGTTAATTTCTCTTTGAGTGCTTGTGACTTTGAATGCTTAAAAAAAAAAAGGAGGAGCTGGTTGTGGTAAATAGATGCAGTTTCTTCGAGTGGTTCAACTATACTTCCAGAATACAAAACCCACTTGTTACTGAACAAAAGGTTTGATGTATGTGGCTTATTTAGTATAGACATTACTCAAAGGATTCTGAGCTCATAACAGTTTATATGACCCTGCAGATTTTGGGGATGGCATCTCATTCTTGGAATCGGAACAAGGACATCCATTTTTGACAGTATTCAGACATCTCAGGCTGCAGTACATAGTGAGTGATCTGGCGTCCGCAAGGATTGTGGAGCGAGATAGTCTGATGCCTGCAGGTAAATGCCATGCAGCTCGTCTTGGCTCTCTGGTTGGGTCTGTCTTGGTTTTGAAACTCCTCCCCTGTAACCACATGGGCTTAGAACTGAATCTGGGCAAATTGAGGGACCTGACCCATCTGTTCAAACCTAGTTTATTCTTGTGGAGGAGACCTGTTACTTATCAAATGGGGTTTGGGATCGTGGATTGGGAGTGCTTGCTCCCTACATCACACCTTTGGTTGTAGTACCTTCTACAATGTGCTGCGTTGGCTGCCACAAAGCCTGCACTTCTAGTTAGTAAAAATGTCTGGCTGTCAGTTTGCAATTGGTTAATCAGGTTCTAGTGCCAGGCTGAAAACTAGTGTGTGGGTGGGTTAATATTTGTCTTGAAAGGACTTGCTTTGCTTTTGCTATAAACATTAGCATCCAGACTGCTGGATTTGTCCTTCTCTTTTCACGGTCAGAATCATTATGATCTCCTGCTTTAGAATGGTAGGATTCTAGGGCACTAGGTCACGGTCCTTCTGCTCTTCATCAGAGCACACTGGGGCAATTCCTCCTGTTCCTTTGTCCTCACTCAGCTTGGTTTTGTTCATTGCTAAATCTCATCTTGCCTGTAAATTTTTTGCCCCATAACTTCGTCCAAGAACCAAACTGTTTTCCCTGTTATTTAAGCCTCAGTGGGATGTGTGTAAATGCGCTTGTTTCCCTTCACTGTAGTCTGGCAACCGGCAGAACCCTTTATTCTTTCAGTTCACTCTGACACCAGCAAAGTCGTTCAGGGGCAGAGTAAGGCGGTAGCATTAGATCAGATGGTTTGCGATCTAGTTCCTAATGATTCGTGTGCATACCTTTGAAGCTCAAAGTTTTGATGCAGCTTTCCTTCCGTGGCCCATCCCTAAGCAACCCACTTTGATTTCTTTAACTTTTTAGAATGGCTGTCCTCTGTTTACAAACAGCAGTGGTTTGCCATGCTTAGAGCAGAACAGGACAACGATATTGGGTATGTATAGTGCCTTTCCTTCCCTATAGTTTGTTACTGCACACCCTCCTCAGCTTTGGGTATTTCAGGAATGCAAATGTCATGAAAGAGGGAAATCGTGATTCACTAGCTCTTTACTTTCAAAAGATCCAACTTGTGGGGATGGCCATGTCCTTGGGATTTCTGTCATCATTGGATGTACCAGTTTCTTTTGTTCTGCTTTAAACCGTGAAAGTGAGAGTCTGGCCACTTGTATTCATTTTCTGCTCACCAGTACACTGCAAACTTTTCCAGTGGGAATCTTGCATAGTTGCCATTTCGGTTTCTCTACGTTTATCCCTTGATCCTCCTGGATATGAACCTTGCCATTCAGTTGTTTAACATGCCAGGCATTGTCTTCATTCCTTCCTTATTTCGGAAACCCAGGCCTTATAAAACCCACAAAAAATTGCACTGGCTCACTTGTCCTAAAAATGCTGAAGGGGTTTGTGTGTGCATGTCTGGCATTTCCATTGAAAAATTGTCCTCAAACCACTTAAGAAAATGAGGCAGGGTGTAAAGACAGCCATGTTGACCCGTGAACAAGGCCTGTACATAGATCAGGCTCCCTATTAGGGTGAAATCAAAAACTGGAAGGAAAGGCACGCAGGCACCTGACTCATGGCTGGATTCCTGTTTAGGCATCTGGTCTAACAGGCTCCTTTTGACAAAATCCCATTTTATAGACATTTCTCTCGTATTTCTAAGGCCTCAAGAAATTAATAAGGAGGAACTTGAAAGAAACAGCATGCGGTGTGGCAGAAAACTTGCCAAGGATGGTGATGTAAGCACAAACATTTTCCCAATGTCCTTTGTAAAATGTGTGATTGAATAACAATTTTCATATATTGTTTGCTTAAAGATAATTCAAAAACAAACACTGTTTTCGTAAACAGATCAACTTACCAACAGGTTTTTCTTTGTCGGAAAACATATTTTTTGCTTCGCTGATACATTTATGTGCCCTCAAATCTTTTGACTTACGCTGACCCTCCTACACCCGGGACCTCCTGAAGGTCCTTCCCTCAATAGCCCTGCCTAACGTTTGCAAACACAAGGCCGCGGCTGCCTTTATCGGAGCAACCCATCTTGTTGTTCAGTCTTCCTGTTTGTAGGTGACAGCTTTCAACTTTCCCAGCTTGATCGTTCACTTCCAGTTAATCTTCTAATTCAGTTTAGTTAATTTTGATTTTTTTAAAGAACATTCAGACTTGATTTGTTATAGCATCTGCTTACATCTTAATGTATTATGTGTACTATATGTTGGAGGCAGGCCAGCTTGCCATAGGCTTGACAACAAGTTCTTAGCAATAAAATTCAGCCAAATAGCGGTTCTTAATAATAGCGGTTCTTAGCAATAAAATTCAGCTGAAGCTTTTGCTCCGGCCGTAGTCAATCTCCAGTGCCATTGCAAAAACCTGAGGTATCCCAAAGGATCGAGGGCAGGCCATTCAAGTCCAGAACTAAAGCGTTCATTGAGGGTGTTCTGTATGTGGCAGTGAATTTCTTCATGTCTTCCAAGTATTGCTGGCGATGGACGGGCTTCAACTTTGGCTTTGACTTGCTGGTCACGTACACCAATCGTTATATCGTCTTCAAGCGCAACACTCTGAATCAGCCGTGCAGTGGCTCTGTCAGCCTGCAGCCCCGGAGGAACATTGCTTTCAGGTGGGTGTGATTGAGCCTTTTTCTTTACAGAGCCTCCCTCTGCTCTGTCCCCGGTTGCTCCAACGCGGAGGGACTCTTGGTGACTGTTTATCCTTGCCTCCCCTACGAAGGGCAGTGTCTCTCCCTCTTGTCTAATGGAGTCCTCAGTGGACCCTTTAAGGATTCCTGTCCCAACTTCCGTGGGTGGATTCCTTGAGTGGATTCCTGTCTGGAATGTGGAGGGTGGCAGGGCCGAATCCACATAAAGTATCTCTTCGTCATCCATCAGAGAAGCAGCCGGTAGGGAGAGAAAAGTGGGGAAGCTTTTTTTCCCCAAGTCACCCACCTCGTTTCAGGGCAGGGTTGGGGGGAGAGGCTGAATATGCTGAGAAAGGCAGCACAAGCAAGGAGGGTGGGGAGCAAAATTGGGGTGCCTCTTTGCACCATTCATTCCATCTTCTGGCAGAATGACCTCGGGGTTCATGGGCACAATATTGAGGGCCTTAGTGATGTCACGTAGATGTGCTGAAAACCAGGTGCAGGACCAAAGGGTGTTCCATTTATGGCACCTCTAGACAAGAAGGTTCAAATGCCCTCCTTAAGGTCCTGGTAACTGCTGCAGCTTTTACTGATATAGTAGTCTGTTCAAAGGATGTGTTTGCTGGCAAGCATATCCTATTTCGCCCTCTTGCCCCATGACCAAAAGAGGCAGCCCAGGCCTGGCAAATAGCCACGAGGACCTGTAGGTACTCCTCTTTTTATAACATTTCTATCTCCCCGTCCCTCTTAAGAGAACAGACATTCACAGGGTGTAACTTCTTTTCTGTCCTTAGATTGCGCTTGGCTTCTTTTGATAGCAGTGGAAAGCTTATTGGTAGTAGAACTGCAGGCTATCAGATCCTAACCCTTGAAAAGGACCAGGTATGTAATTTGACATGTTTTTGGTTCTGTGTGAAAAAGTTGAATTGTGCTTCCCTGAAATTATTTCCTACAACGGGTGCACAGTATTTGTGTATTTACATGATTTGCTAAATCTGTGCCTCCATTATGCACACTACCAGCTCCATCATCACCTATGGGGTGGTTAATTCTGAAGACCAAGAATGTAAAGAGAAATCAAGGCTTAAGCAAAGACTGCTGCTTTAGCCTGCACAAAAACCTCCCATGAGATCATAGAAATGTACCTGAACTCATTTCAGGAAACAAGTGAGCAAACTTGGTTTTCCATCCCAGTGAGATGTTATAAGTAGTCTAAGGATAGAACTTGGTTCAGGTGATGGTTGGTTTCTGGAAACACATGGGAATGAAACTGTCGTAGTAGTAGAGCTATTACAAAAAATTTGGTTTTTTTCTGTTGTACCTGTTGAAACAGATGTACCTCTTGGAAAACTGATACAAAGCTGTTTTTCCGCTCTTCTTCAAACATTAGGAGCTGAACTCTAAAGTTTGGTCAACTTTTGGATTCATCGGTTCTTCTTAAACTGTGCTGTGCTGATTTCATCCAGACCTTGTAGGGCCATTCCAAATGGCATGGGGCATGCATTCTTCTTCCCTCGCAAAATATGTCCTAATGCTTGCTTTTCAGGAACAGGTAGTGATGAATTTGGACAGCCGACTGCTGACTTTCCCTCTTTACATCTGCTGCAACTTCCTGTATAATTCCCCAGAGAAGAAGAGAGAACATGATGGGCAGCCAGAAATCTTAGAAAGCTGAGAATTACCTTTGGAACTTTTCCCCCATGACTGCTTTAACTCAAGTGCTCTTGCTACACAGAGAAAAAAGTAATAAAATGGCCTTATAAACAGTAGCAAATAAAATGCAGTTTCCACCCCTTATCCTTGTACATTCCGATGCATATCAGAAAGGGATCCAAACTAGCATGGCCAATGTTTGCTGTTCTACAGATCTTCAAAGAGCTACAGGGGATGGAGAACTGGAGAAGTGTTGTATGTTTTCTCCCAGTGACAGAGAGAATTTAAATATAGCTAATCAAACCGGGCATATTGATTTATTGTGAACAGCACATGCATAAAATACTTTAGCGTTAATCTAAACATTGCATGTCCTTCGAACTGAAGGGTCTCACACTTTTGTTCTTCTGACTGAACTCTAAATTTTTAAGGGTCAGTTTACTGTCTTGACAAAATCCCACTGTCTTAGTGGTTTTGCACCCAGGGTTCAGCTTATACCTTTCTTGTTTCAAAAAAATAAAAAAAACTTGTTCCGTATTTAGGGCTTGTGAAGGTTTCCTACTAAACTAATGCTTTCATTTAGCATATCCTGTTTTGTTTTTAAGATACATATTTTTAAACAATGTATTTTTTTACATTCATTTATAGAGGCTCCAATCCCCTTTCTGAGCAATTAGCCACCTTTATATTTGACCATGGTTTTCTGTGTGCCGTAAGATATGGGCACCTTCTCCAACTCTGAAAGTGGATCGCTTCCTTTAGTTGGCCCACCAAATCCAGGTGCCAACAGGGCTCTCAGAACCAACTGTATTCTGTCCCCGGCAGCGTCGCTGAGCCCTGTCCTACAGAGACCTCTGTGTGAAATTCTGAATCCTATGCAGCTTTTAGAAGCAGAAGGTGTCTTCTTTGGACCTGAAGTGAAGTGTGCAGTTCGCTGTGTGTGTCTGTTTTGGAATGAAAGTTGTATGCCATGGCTGAAATGCTTGAGAAGGCCTTCGGGAAGATTTTGTTTTTTGAGAATTCCCTATGGCATGTCTTGTGTTGCTTGTATGTCCTCCGCATATCATCTTGCCCATGGATTTTGGTTTGTGTTCTGTTACAGCCAAATATAAAAGGTTTTAAAAGCATTTTTAGTTCTGTACAGATACCAGAAATCTATATGTCCTGATTGTTGTGCTCGGAAATTTACAATCTTTTGAGTGCCTTTGAGTTATATGTATACAGTATTCACATTTTTTAATGTCACTTGAGCTAGGTTGCAGATTCCTAAAACTGTACTCAAAGCATTCATATATTGAACTAGCATTAGGAAAGAAAAAAAAGTGGTCCTTTAAAACTGAGATGTAAATTTTGAATTCATTTGTACATATCTTTGCAAGGGGTGCTGTTGAATTTCTACCTTTACATTTTTGTTGGTAGGAAATTTTGTACTGTTCAATTATATACCCTTTGTATTCTGTGGAGATAAAATAGCATATTTAAAGAACAGGACCAGTGGCAGCTTGTGAATAAATCCTCTGTTGTTTAAAACTCTTATAGCCATCTGTCATGCTGTGTCTTGTCTTTAAGACTTGTGTTAAACTAAGGGTGGCAGAGTTTCTCCCCCAGGGCCTAGGGTGGTCAATGCCCAGGGTCTACAGATGGCCAGTAGATTCAGCTGTCCATGGTGCTGAATACCAAGAGCCCCCCTCAATCATGGAGCTCTCCAAGGTGCTGCAGGCCTTTATGCTGTGTGATCTGTCCCGATGGGCTGTGCAGGGTCCTGGGTCCTGGAGGGGGAAAGCCTCCCATTCTCATCCTCTTTGCTTCATCTAGTCAGCCAGCAGGTAGGGGTTTGTGATTTTTCCCCCCCACAGAGCCAAACTGGTCACTGCTCAGTGAAGCCTTGCAACTTTATCATACCCCGCTTAGCTGATAAAGCAGCTTGCCACAAGTAACAGTTATTTCCAAGTTCTGATTTTGTTCCTCTCCTTTCAAACCATAACAACAAAGCTTGGGGGCTGCAAAAATCAAGCGTTCCTCCACAGATAGTTCAAACTAAAAATCTGGTCTAACTGAAAAGTGGTGACTTTGCAAGCCCAGAAGCTAGGAGAATCGTGTCCCAGGAGGAACTGGCTGTCCAGTTGGATTTGACTTTCACTGGGGAAGCCCTGGGGAGCATCTCCGACTCTTCCTGAGGCAACCAGTGTTAGAAGCCATGACTGGAGTGTGCACTATCTTGAAACGAATTTCAGCAGGCTGAGAAAACAGAAGCAAAAATGTTTCCTTTGCTGTTTCCATGAGGAAAGCATTTCTTTTGTGAGAACCAGCGTTTGGTATGGAGAATGGGAGCGCAGAACAAGCAACATGGTCTGGTCTGTGACTGACCGAGAACAAGAAACACAGATCGAGGGGTAGACCAATTCCTACACTCAGGCAACTGGGGAGAAGGAAGAGGTTTGTTGGGCTGCCAAGGCGAGCACTGATCTATGCAACAGGCTTGGTTGGTTCCCATGAGGTCTTCCAGCCATGCCCTTGCAGAAGAGTCTTGTATACCCTGGTAGCCCCAGGCCCCAAGATGCCCTCTCTCGGCCAGCCGGTCACATTTTATATATAACGTTGGATCGTATCTATCCATATTTGGTCCTCCATACAGTTCTCATGCTGCTCGGCCAAACTGAGGGAGAAGCTGCAGTCCTTCAGAACCGAAGACAGCCTCTTTAAGGTCTTCAGCTAAAGGGAGGCACAGGGCCAAAGAAGGCTGGCCCTACCCTCCAGTGCCATTGTCCAGTCCAGTCCTAGACGTCATCGGAGCTGGGGGCACCATTGGAACCCTCCGTGGTGCTGAACCTTGCCGTATTTTACCCTGTAGGCCTTTTGGTCAGGGTCGTGTCCAGAGAGAACAGGGGAACCTAATGACGTCCCTCTGCCTTCCTCTGAAGATCGACCTCGTCTGCTTACAGCGGTGGACATGTGCTCAAGCAGGTCCTCCTCCTCCTTCCTTTCACTTGCTCGCTTTCATGTTCTCTCTTTTCTCCAGTGGGTTTAAGGTGGGACACAAGGCTCTTCCTCCCCCCCCCCCACCTTCTCAACAATCAAATGAGGTGGATCAGTCAGAGGCAGTATGTGTGGCTGTAAGTCAGCCAAGAAGTTTTTCTTGGCTCCATGGGAAATAAAACGAATCTTCTCAACAATCAAATGAGGTGGATCCATCAGAGGCAGTATGACTGGCTGGAAGTCAGCCAAGAAGGATTTCTTGGCTCCATGCAAAATAAAACCCAGGTCAACTCAATCCTGGGCGGACACTCTATTTATTCATTACTTATTTATTTCTTGAGCGTCTAGACCACCTGGCTGAGTGAGAACACTGCTTGGGGTGTTACATAATTAGGCATAATTGTTGTTTAGTCATGTCTGACTCTTCGTGACCCCATGGACCAGAGCACGCCAGGCCCTCCTGTCTTTGGCAAAGCGTACAGTTAACTAAATTAATTAAAAAAATAAAAAAGAAATTGGAAAGCATAATACCACCACAAACTCTCTAGTACCTGTTGTGCTACAAGGAGACAATACAAGCCATGAAAATTTGTATTTATTTATTTTACAAATTAAAACGGGGGAAGTCAAAAGAAGGGAGAAAGCTACAAACATGGCCTGTCCTCACCCCGGCGACCCCCTTGCAGGAAGGCGGCTCCTTCCAAACGCCCAAGGGAGACCCTGGCCCTAGACACAAGTGCCCCACCTCTTGCTTTGCGGCTTCTCCCTTTGGGGAGGGGAGGGCCCATGTTCACAGGTATAACAAGACAAAGACAAAGAGGCCCCAAGCGCAACTGCCCCAAACTCTACTTAGGAGCCCGTCTGGTTGACATCATTTTTATGACTCAGGAACAAACATGTTTGTTTGCTTCCAGCATCCGCCTGATCTCACCACATCCTCATCTGCTATAGGAGCAGGCAGTACCAGCCAGAGGCAGGAGATGGGGCTCTACTCTTTCCCTTCCCTCTCCAACCCAAGATTGCAGAGTGGCATTGGAGGGGGGGGGGACAGGATTTATACCTATCCGACACACAACCTACAGACAACTGTCCTATGGTTTTCAAAGAGGCCATTCCCGTCCCCCAAATAGTTGCGTTTCATCAGTGAGTGCCTCCAGGTTGATCTTCTGGAGCTACCTCTAGCTGGGGGAATCGGGGGGAAAGGGGAAAGCTCAGCAGGCCTGGTCAGCTGCTGTTTTGTGGAGACCAGGAGAGAGTGTGGGAACAACAGATGTTTTCAACAGATGTTATGCGCTGACAAGTCCCCTCTGACTTAGGGTGACCCTATGAAGCAAGGACCTCCATAATGAAGAAGCAAAAGCTCTGATTCAAAGAATTATCTGCCCTGCTGATATATCCTCAGCAAATATCGGAAGGGGATATTAGCAAATACCATGGTTTCTCCCCAGCATTTCAAAATTCACCGTCAGGTAGTTACCCTGCCAGTAACTGTTTTGGCAGTCTATATGCAGAAGCAGAATCTATATACTTAGTGTGCATGTGGTGCAGAGGAGCCCAGTCCTCTTGTTTATGCAGAATTGAGCCCTACTTCATTAGGAAGCGGGAGGCAGTGTGGTGTAGCAGATAACATGTCAGACTACGACCCAGGAGATCTGAGTGCAAATCCCCCTTCAGCCATGGAAATTTCCTGGGAAGCCATGCTTTAAATATTTCACATCCTTTGGAAACTCTGGGCAGGTCACCATAACTCAGAAGTGACTGGATGGCACACAAGGAGAACTTTGGATCAGGACCGAGCACCAAGTATTGTGCAGTGTAGTGGATGGAGTGCCAGACTGGGACTCGGGAGATCTGAGTTCAAATTCCACTCGGCTGCGGAAACTCAGTTGAAGGTGGCAATGAAAAACCACACCTTGAACATCTTGCAAAAGCCCTGTTGGGGTCATCATACCTTGAAAATGGCTTGGAGGCAGACAACAACAACAGCGTGTGAGAAGGTACCTAATTTTCAAATAATGGCCAGGTGCAAACAGGAAAGAATGAAGTTCTCCATCCTAGCAATTACAAAGTGCCCAAAACGAAATGCCATTGTGGGCGGACAAGCCCAGGGCTCCGAACGCTGGCATGCCAGCCACCGGTTTCTGTCCGGCGTCAGCTGACAAAGAACGAAGTCAAATATGCCGCCCTGCAGGGTCACTTTGGTCTGGCTTTTACCAAGAAAGAAACCCTGCTACATCTCTCATTCATTCTGCCAGCCTTAAGTGGCGCTCAAGAGGTGCTCCTGCCTCTGGTTTCGAGGCTTGCCAGGTCCCCGATATCCACCACCACCCTGAAAGGGGGCAAAGGGGCAGCCGCCCAGTGTCCTGGCCAGGTCCTCCATCCACTCATTTATTCGTTGCGCTTGTGTTCTACCTTTCCTCAAAGGAGTGTAGCAGAAAAGACAGTTGTTTTAACATGGAATAAGGGCAAACACCCGCTACTGGGGGTAGAAAGGTGAGGGGGCCTGCCGGACCTCTGAGGTGGGCTCCCCGAGTCTCCTCGGCCAGAGGGGTGCCCAACCTTGGAGGATGCTCCAATCTCTCTTTGGGGCTGGGCTGAGTGAGCTGAAGGGTGTCAAGTGGCCGCGGCAGCTGTGTCTCTTTTGGCCCTTTAGTCACCGCCTGACAAGTCTACCAGGGGCCTCCTACGCCGCTCCTTCTGCCTTATATATCTTATCGGAGCGTGTTCCTGTAATTCCTAATTTCCACCTGCAGATTAAATGGGACGGCTACTGCTATCAGCCGGGAGCATCTGCCTGAGGAACAGCAGCTGGCTGAGTCATGCCCTCTGGAGATACAGGATTGTGTGAGCTGTGTACATCTGGGGGAGCCGCTTTCATTCCAGAAGTTCAAGGATTTCTTAGTAGGAACATTTGCAGGAATTGATGGAGGAGAAGGAGAAGCTGACACTGGACAACAGCAAACATCTCTCCCATGCTTGACACGTTTTCTAAGATGTGGATCAAACTTTCTAGACTGCAATAAGTACTCCGGAGGAACGGCTTGGTCACAGATGATGAGCATGTTAGAGTTTTGAGGGGTTTTTTAATTAACACTTTTCAGGGCAGTGGCTATGCTGCTAGATGGATTCTTAGAACTGTAAACTGTTGGTTATACTTTTGTGCACATTATACCACTCCTCACTAAAAAGATTTGTTTGGATCAAACTTTCTAGACTGCAATAAGTACTCCGGAGGAACGGCTTGGTCACAGATGATGAGCATGTTAGAGTTTTGAGGGGTTTTTTAATTAACACTTTTCAGGGCAGTGGCTATGCCGCTAGATGGATTCTTAGAACTGTAAACTGTTGGTTATACTTTTGTACACATTATACCACTCCTCACTAAAAAGAGTTGTTGTTGTTGTTTATTCATAGGTTGTCCTCCGTTGCCTCCTTCAGTGATTCCGTTGGGTTGCTATTTGCTCAATGTGTTGTATTTCGATGATGTTCCCTGATGGGTTGAAACACGAGAGCGCCCTGCCGCTGATTGTGGCATCCCTGATTAGTAGGGCTGCTCTT